CGTATGATTTCACTCATATGTGGAAGATAAACAAATACATAGACAAAGAGAACAGATTAGTGGTTACAAGAGGGGAAGGAGGTTGGGGGCGGGCATAAGGGGTAAAGGGGCATATATATATGGTGACTGACAAATAATAATGTACAACTGAAATTTCACAATGTTATAAACTATTATGACCTCAATTTTTTAAAAAAGTAGTTCTCATTCTAAGGAATTGAGAGAACTCCTGAAAAGATTTATGGTAAAGTAATAGTTTCTGTTAAAATTAACCCCAGCGTTTCTATAATCTACATTATAAAAATCAAGTAACATTTTGACAGACAGGCATTGAGATACCCAGTATAAAATCCAAATCTAGTTTAAGATTCAACCCAATAAAATGAGTACTCTCATATGTTGCTAGTGAATCTAAAAAAACTCTTATAACCTTTTAGAATGGTAATTTGCCAGTATGTATTTAAAGCCTTAAAAATGAATGTAAAACTTTTGATCTAATAAATCCAGTATTAACAACAAAAAACTAACACTTACTGAGCATTTATTACGTGGCAGGCGCTAGTCTAAGGCAGGCACATGTACTAACTCATTTAATCCTCACAACAACCTGTTACTACCCCCATTTTCAGATGAGAGAACTGAGGCCCCAGGTAGCTCAGCACTGGCCTGGAGCCACGTGACCAGGGAGTGGAGGAAAGATGGGCTGGGAACTTGGGTGGTCTGGCTCCGAGGCCGCACTCCTGAGAGGTAGGTACCCTGCTTTTCTGAAATCTCTCCTAGAAATTCATTCCATGGAAGTGTGAATCTAAAAGCATACAATGACTGATGTCCAAGGATTATAACCGGGAAAAACCAGAGACCATCTAAATGTCCAAGAGGAGACTAGCTAAATAATCACAGTTCATCCATACTATGGGATGCTATGCAGCAATTTCAAATTATGCTCCTTTGGAAGGTTGAATAACAGTCCCCAAAAGATGTCCACATCCCATCCTTGGAACTTGTGAACGTTACTTTATAGAGCCAAAGGGACTTTGCAGGTGTAATTAAACTAAGAATCTCGAGATGGGGAGAGCAACCTGGATTATCCATGTGGGTCCAATGTAATTACAAGTGTCCTTATAAGAGGGAGGCAGGCGCTCTGAGGGGGTAGTAGGGGACATGATGATGGAGGCAGGAGGCTGAAGCAATTGGAGGAAGAGGTCAGGAGCCATGGAGTGCAGCCACCTCTAGAAGGTGAATAAAGGGAAGGAAACAGAACCTGCCTCCAGCCTCCAGAAGGAATGAAGCCCTGCTGACACCTTAACTTCAGCCCAGTGAGACTGATTCTGGACTACTGACCTCCAGAACTGTAAGATAATAAATTCCTGTTGTTTTAAGCCATTAAGTTTGCAGAAATTTGTTACAGCAGCAATAGGAAACTAATACATTTCCCAAAGAAGATGGAGAAATGCTAATGAAATATTAAACCAGCTCATGTACAGTGTGATCCAAATTTTAATTTTTAAATATGTATCTATATGCACAGGAAAAAAGATATCTACCAAAATGGCAACAGTGGTTCTACCTTTCAATGGTATGATTACAGGTAGTTATTTTCTTCCTTATTCATTTACATTTTTACAAAGAGCAAATATCACACTTTTATAATTACATAAAACATATATTATTTAAATACTTTAATAAGCCTTTTAAAATAAATTTTATAGAAAAACAAATTTTCTAGTAAGACAGTGGCACAAAGATTCAAAATACGTTAAAGATTTCATTTTATTTGTACATATAGCAAAGCTTAAAAGGGATCTATTTCCTAGGAATTGTTTTCAAAAATCTAACTTAAGGCTAAGCTTGTAGTCAGTTCCCTGTGAACAGGCTTATCATCTGTAGCATCAGTTACTCACAGAGCCTAGCTAGGGCTGTGACTGGATACACTAAGTGTTCACTGGATTTAATTTCTATAAATTCTTCATGTAGAAGACCTGGTTATCTTTCCAGACAAAGGTATGCCCTAAAAGATGGTATTTACTTAAGTATGGATTTTCCATAAATAAGCCTAATTATACCTCTAATACAAGGTGTAATCAAAGAATATTTGACATCGAATACTAAATGGAAAATGAACAGTTCAAATAATATATGCCAGGAGTAAGAATTAATGAGATGTATGTGTAAAAGAGAGACAAAGCAGAGAAAATGTATTACTTGGACAAGTAACTGATCTAGCAGACAGCTAACATTCCTTGCAGCTCTGAGATTCTTCTACTTTGCATTATAAAAGAATATCACTAAGATGATAATCTTGGGTCTAGCTAAAGTACACCTGAAATTATTTCTCTGTAAATAAAGAACATAATTCAGGGGAGAGGAAATTACTTGTATCACCCGAAAGTCATCTAATTATGCAGATATGCCTTGTTTTTTAGTGAACCTTTAATGAAATACCTCCAGAGAAAACTGAATTGTGTTTAGGCCATGAAAGGGTATCATTCAGTTCAATTAAAATTTGGCTGTAAAAATACCACTTTCATAACTAATTGCATACTTGGCTGTATTACCATTGTTTAACAGGCTAACATTTAAGCAATGCCAGACCACACTTCTTAAAGGTGTATTCTTAAGCCTGACTGAACCATTCCTTCTGGCACATTCTGTCCATTAGTAGGTTTTGGAAGGTGTGGGGAACACAAATGTTTCAGCCCAAAGAGTCAACAGTGCCAAAGTCAAGAAATCTTGGTCTACACGGTCTTGTATTGCCTATTCTTTCAGATACGTTGCTCCTGCCTCCGCATTCTCTTTATCCTTCAGTCAGCTAGTACTGGCTAGCCACATAGGAGGCACCTCCAAACATAGTACTATCCTCATTTTAAACTCATTTCCTTAAGCAAAAGACACCGACAAGATTAAGAATCAAGTTAACAGACTTCTGCAACACGTTAAAACCGACTAGGCCACAGAGAAAGGGAAATTAAGTCTCTCTTTACCATCTCCTTAACCTGTCTCAGGCAAAACACTGAAAGAGACCAAGGCCCTCTACCCAAATACCAAATACAAGGTCTAGCCTCCCCTTCTTAATTTTTCAAGTCACCAAGGGTTGGAGTCGTCAAGTTTTCCCAGTAAAATATAGTCAATATCTCAACTCTCTCCTGGTTCAGACAGACAGTCGCAAATCTCTCCCTAAAATCCCACTTAAAACACTAATGGGAGCCACGTGCAGTTTACCTAAGCCTTCAGCCTTCCTAGCTGTTATTACTCTATCTGTGGCACTTACTATGGCAGCCACACAAATAAAAGACGCAGCTGGCAGGGCAAGAACTATCTATCACCAGAATGAAAGAAAATGCAATCAAAGAACATGTGAATTGAAAGAGAAGGCTAAAAACCTCTCGACTGGAAGAGAGCCCCTTGCTCCCATGGAGGTGCTTCAAAGGCTCCACAAGCACTACATCAGAATTTCTCTTTTTTTCATAGATACGACTACCTCTTGATGATAAGGGATGCTTGGGGAGTGCAAAGGAGAGATCTAATGGGCAAGAGTCCCACTCAGGCCGCCCCACCACCACCTCCAGTGAAGGGCTCTGGCCATCTGCATCATACATGGAAACAGAAAAATTTATTCGCAAAAAGTGTTCTGCGTGAATGGATAAACAAAATATGTTATATCCCTACAACGGATTATTATCGGGCCATAAAAAGGAAGTATTGATACATGCTACAATGTGGATGAACCTTAAAAACATAATGCTAACTAAAAGCAGCCAGACACAGAAGGCCACGCACGATTCCACCTGAATAAATGAAATATTCAGAAAAGACAAATCTGAGGAGACAGAAAGTAGACTAGAGGTTGCCTGGGGCTGGGGTTATAAATGGGTAGTGACTGCAAATGGGCACCAGAGCTCTTTCTGGGGTGAGAGAAATGTTCTAAAAGTGGGTTGTGGTGATGAGTGCACAACTCTAAATTTACCAAAAGAAAATCACTGAATAAGTACACTTAAAACAGGTGAATTTTATGGTATGTAAATTTTACCTTAACGCTCTTCCAAACAATAGAATGAGTGCTGCAGACAAAGTTGGGAAGAATCACCTCGTTTTTACACACGTGCAAACAGACCTTGAAGTCAGAGCACTACTTACTAGCATAGTTAAGACTAAAGGGCCATAGGAAAGTAAATTCTCCAGAGTTCAACTCTGAGATCTTGTGCCCCTCTCTCACTTGGAGGTGTCGTTCAGAATCTAAAGTAAATGTAAATATTTAACTTCATCTGCGTAGGCAAATAGGCCAAGATTCTCAGGGGCTCTAACCAAAAACACGAGGCAAACATCTTATTTAAAACGATGCTGACGATCTATAACAGTCTTCGGGGGCACAATCATTACCGGGCAGGGCTACAGGTCTGAAAGGCTTTCTGGTTCTGAGAATAAACGGGAGTCTCAGGGGCACGACCAGCCGAGGAGCTTCTTCCACCGCATTTCTGGGGCGAAATCAGTGGAGCCGCGCGTAGAGAGATACGGGCAAGAACCCAGGTCATTCAAAACCCGATGCCAGCGCCCCTCTGGGCGCAGACCTGGAATTACGGGTACGCTCCGAGGCCGAGGGCCGGAGCCGAGCATATCGTTTCACTCGGTTCAAGTTTATTTCACGTAAAGAAAATGATGAAATCGGGCAAGCCACCAAGCCGTGTAACGCGCAGACGGGGCCAGGCAGGGACCCCGGCCGTAGCCCGGGCGCGTGTGGGGCGGGCGGAGGGACCGCGCGCTCCCGCGAGCATCCCCGCGGCGCCCGGGGCGTCTGCAGCCCGTCTCCGCCGCACGCCCCGCGCCGCGGCCCCGCGGCCCGCCCCCCCGTCCGCTCCCAGCCGGTGCAGGGTCGCAGGGAGGCCCCAGCCGCCCGCGCGGACCCCCGCGCTCGGGGCCTTGGGCGCGGCGGGCACACCTGAGCACGCGGGAGACCGCGCAGGTCGGAGGGGCGGCGGCTCCGGGGAGCGGGCCGGCTGACGTACCTGCGGCCGCCTCAAGCTCGGGTCCGGCGGGCCCCAGATAACGGCGCCTCCGCAGCGAACACGCCTCGAGTCTCCATTCGGGGCTGTTTACTCCCAACTCTCGCGAGACCGCGCGATCGGGGCGGGGAGAACGACGGTTGGGAGCGCCGGCCCCGCCGGCCGTGCGTGCCCTGCGTGTGGCCTGCGTGCGCGCTCTGGACGCCGAGGACCGTCGGGCCCGGGCCTGAAGAATGGACGAAGGTCTCGCGACATTTGCGGCCCGGGCGCGGGGCGAGAGGCGGAGGGGCGTGGTCAGTTTGCTCGGACCCGGTCCGAGTCGGGGGAACGGACTGGTGGGATGGCCCAGCAGCTCGGTGACCGGGCACGGGCCCGAAGGCGGCCGTGCCGGGCCAGGTCCGACTGAGGAGGACCCCTAGCCCTGCGGAACGGCCCTCCGGCTAGTATTTGCATTTGCCACTAACGCCGGGAGACTCGAACTCCAGCGCTCTCTTCCTGGGCCTTTAGGTGTCCTGATCCAGAGCCAGGCTCGGCGGCTCCCCCAGCACCCACTCTGCAAACCTCGACCCATCTTACCCGCGCGGCAGCTGAGACGCTCAGGCCTGGGGACTCGAGTGCTCGCCTGACTCCCACCCTGGCAGGCGAAACCTCTGCCCCATATCCCGCCTGCTCCACCCCTAACCCCTCTCGGCCTCGCCTGGACCACTGACGCCAAGTGGTTACCCTTTCTGAAGAAACTAGGATCAACGTGTTAAACTCTGAAAAGTCTGCCTCCCAAAAAACGTCTGGGTGATTCAGATACTAGGATCACGGGCTGTTATCTAAATGTGGAACTGGCCCACACTTAGCATTGGGCACAAGTGGGGGACTGGAAGCATGTTTTAGGTAATGCTAATGAAAAATGATGTGCTATCTAGTCAGATAAAACTGCTCAGCAACCTGATAATGCTGACTGGCATCAATATGACAAGAAATCACAGCAGTTCATCTTCCCTTTAACATTATTTAACCAAACGGATAATATAGTGGATAAATACAGAATCACCTACTAGCTTTGTGATCTGGGGCAAGTTCTACCTTAGCTCTTTTACCTCACCTTCCTCACCCAAAGAAGAGATATTAATACCTACCCTCATAGGATGAGGGTTAAATGAAACATAGACATACAGGGCGTGACACACATGTTCAATAGATGGTGGTGGTTTTATCTAGACCAACCCACACCTGATTAAGTTCTTCCCCCATTCTGAGATTGCATGAACGTTAGGAACTTTCAGAGAATTCTTGACTCGTTTGCATTTGTAAATCCTCAAAGTTAGGCACTCCCTGCTGCCACCATGTAATGCACTTGATCTGAAACTCAGCTGTATTGTTCTAATTTGGGGTGAACTGGTCTTGGCCAGGGTTCTTTTAACAGCCCTTTAAGTCCCTATGCCATTGAATACTCAGCCCGACTGTCAGGAACTGGGGTAGGCTTAGTGAACTGCAAACTTCCCTGTCACATGCTAGTGAAGTCCCAAAGCAGGGAGGAGGAGAATGCTGCCAGCTCCTCAGAACCCTATAAACTGAAGGGGGCCAGGGCATGAGAGAAGCAGCTTGGAAATCTACCAAGGAAGGCTGAGAGCCACAGGATCCTGGTGTACCAGTTTTCCACCACTCCAGGTTCTAAAACAATTTCCTAAACTCATGCTTCATGTGTATAAGAAATCATTCGCAATTCCATGGGAAGGTAAATCTTTATTCAAACTAAATGCTATTGTAAAGAGTAACAGCTAAGCCAATACTGAGACGGTGACACAGAGTGGGCACACAATGTCAAGACTGAGGACACCACCTAACCCTCTGGTTCCCAAATGTGACAAGATTTTAAGTAATTGAGGTTAAAATGAAACAAAAGACTCCTCAGCTGTCTCTACTTGCTGTCTCCCTTTTTCTTCCCACTCTTTCTTGAACCCTCTACAGTCTACCTTTCATCCCCACCACTATGGCTCGTGGCAAAACCACCAAGGATCTCCACGTTGCCAAAGCCAATGATCAAAATCAACCCATCAGGAGAATGAGATCAAGAAATCAACTTAGTAGTTTCAAAAGACTTATTAGACACATGGTTATGGACAATTTTCTTGCTGAATTACCAGCTTTTAATAAATTATTACCACAAGTGTTCACAGATTAATTTTTGTAATTTTTTAATGATTGTTTCTATGGGGAAAAAATGGATCTCTCATTCCAAACGACCAATTTGCAAACATTTGGAGCAAAACTTCCAAAGGAAGCAGAAGCAACTGCTTTTATTGTTAAATTTTCAGTTCACAGGTTGTTTCAAAGGTTCTTATTTCCCACATTCTTAATAGGAAACCCCATCCTACAGCGGCCCAATTACGACTCTCAAATGAGCTCTGGGAAAAAGTATTTGATGAAAGAGAAAACCTAAGGAAAATTCTTGGTTTTGATCTTTCACTAACTTTGCACCGATCAACATATTTATGTACGTCCTGCCAAGTAGAGAATTTTAAAACATCATTGACGTGGTTTACTTGTTCTTATCATAAAGCAATGCTTCAATACCTAATCTACAAATATAAGACCCTGCTGCACCACTGAGCACCTTAGACATGAATACGGTGTCTTTACATAAAGTTGCTGCTGCCTACTCCACGTCAACCAAAGTTCAGGTCAATGCGGAATGAAGTCACATGTTTTCTAGTCTTAATGACCTTAAATTAATCGTTGAGTGTGGGAAAATGCCAAATATGGTAAAAAGCCTTCCACGCTAACTCCATCAAAACCTTCAGTGTTATGTGGTGTCACGAGTGTGTAAGTTTTCACACCTGAAGGTCTTCCCCTCATGTGATGAAGGCCTGATCTGTAAGTGGAAGGGCTTCTGAACTTAACTACTCATCTTCTGAGTCCAAAGCAGATTTGGAAAAACTGAAGCAATGTCACTGGCAAAATTCCAGGTATAACATAAGCATGTTTATGCCTACTCACAATGGAACATCATCTCAGGAGAAAACAATTCCGTAACAGTTCTGATTCCAATCAACTTACTAGTTTCTGCATCAGTGTCACGATATTAAACTCCAAATTTTTAATTTGTACATATCATCATACTGTGATTTACAACTGTCAAAGCACTAGATATGTGGTCCTCAAAAATGCTTGCCATTATAGGACCTGAACCAAAAACATTTCACAGTAGGTTTCAATGCTAACCCATATTGTGGGGGGTTGTGCATAATTATCTTCACATCAATAAAGTATTCACTATAATGTGTAAATTCATTACACGAACCAAGAATGAGCTTCTAACTTATTTCAACAGATACGTCATATCACACACATAATTTGTCCAAATTTTAACCACTATTCCATAAATACTTGATGTTTACACCAATAATCCTACTGGAATGGAATAATATTACATAGAAAAGTGTATGAAAACCAGATATAACAAGCTCTTTCTAAAGGGCTAAATTTCAGGTATAAAATGGGTCAAGGTCATAGGCTGAGAAATCACTACTTATCCACAATAATTATAAATCAAGAGATGACGGAAAGTCAACCATTACATGTCCAAATCTAGAAATGAATTAATTTCATAGTAGATTTAAACAAACAAAAAAAAAGACTGCAGTAAGTAATATTACACATGGCAAACCTACAGCACAAAATTGGGTAGGCTTGTTTAGTATGAAAACAATCTAGAATTTTAATACCCTATAAGGTTCACATTAAGCCATCTTGACAAGAAATCTTTTTCAAAGTAACTTACCCATAAATAAAGTTGCCCAGACGCACACAACATACATACATTTATGGTTCTCTAATGAAGTTATCAGTTGAAGAGCAGCATTTTCATACAGATAGTCAACAACTAGTGCTATAAATATAATACACACATATTTCTACTGCTAATTATACCAGCAATCTTACTTATAAAATAACACTTTTAAACGGTCTTTCCTGATGAACATTTGAAAACCAATACTATAATTCATCTACTGAAATAATTTCCCTTAAAAAACATCTGAAATTATAAGAGCTGACAAGTCATATTATAAGTATATTTCAATATCAGATTGCCGTAGCTCCTAGAACAACATAAATCACACAACTTTTGAACAGCTTAGGAAAAGAAAGCATCGAAATTCAGGTTTCCTCAATCAGTTCTTGTGTCTCGGCCACTATTTACTCTGTCCCATCCACGTGGCCCTTGAGGTTTTACCACAACATTCTCTAAGAGTATTATGTTTGCCTTGCAAATGATGAGTCAACAGTATGCTAAGTAACCAGTAATAAAAGAAGATACAGAAGATAAATAAAATGTGTTCTTCCAAATGTCAGAATACTGCAGGTTCCCATGAGTTGGCAAAGCTTCCCAAACCATCATCCAGTTTCATGCTTTGCAGGATAAGGCCTCCTTACGTAAAGAACGATGGAGAATATTTGCTCCCCACACCCAGAGCCACTCAGGCATATACTGTGCAAAGAGAAACTAAAAATGGAAGAGAAAAAGGTTATAAGGTTAGAATCCAAAGCCATCGACACTAAAGAGCACAGATCAGCACATGACTGAAGCCAACAAATATCACGAGTCACATTAAATACAAAAATGGAAAAGGCCCTTAGGTGCTATTGCATTGAGTACCCTAAGACCCTATGCTAGACTATGGGAACAGAAACACGATCACCACCCACCGACCCCCTTTCTCTAGTGAGGCTAGAGAGATCGACATGCAGTAACACAACTCCATCTTTACTTAACATGATATGAATAGTATGTTCATTTGGTTAAAAATTACAAACTAGTCCAGGAATAAAGGCACCTGAAATAGATAAACGCATACAAGGTAGTACTCTGTGAGAAAACTGGGGTTTGAGGGGCAGGACGGAGCTAAGCTAAAGAAGAGAACTGAGTCAAAAACACCAGGACCCTGGGACACCATCTCGAGATGTGATAAGGATGGCTCAGGGATCCAGGGAGGCAGTCCTGCTGATGCTGCTCTCCTCAGGGGTTCTCAACCAGGGCCACTTTGTCCCCCAGGGGACACATGGCAATGTCCAGAAACATTACTGGCTGTCACAACTGGCATGGTAGTGCTACTGGTGTCTAGTGGGTAGAGGCCAGGGACACTGCTGAACATCCTACAGTGCACAGGATGGCCCCCTAACAAGGAATTATCCAGCCCCAAATGTCAACACTGCTGAGGTGGAGAAACTCTGCACCACACTGACGGGTTTGTCTGAGACTGAGCCCAAGTTCTAACACCTTGTATGTTAAGGAAGGGAGATGGACGGGCCTCTGCCAAGTGCTGAAACTCTAGCCTTGAACAGAAGTATAATAATAGAAGTCACCCCACCTCTCCTTAATAAACAGACTCAGGTCACTCTGCAACTCCAGGGAACCACACGGGTAAAGAGGGGTCCCAGTATCACAAACCGCAGGATGACAGTCCCAGAGCCACAGTCGTTCACAGCAGGTTCACAGAAGATCCCACTGCCCACCTCAGAGACAGCAGCCCAGGATGTGGCCTGGAGCTGTGGGGACCTTTCTGGGGAAATAATTAAGGTCTCTTTGGACCTCTTTAAAGGGCCAGGATTTCATGGAAAAAAATACCTGGATACTCCTCTTGGAGCCACTGTCCTAAAAGGTTCTAAACCCAAGGAGACAAAAGAGGTCAGTGAATAGTCCCTTAGGAGGACCTGTAAGTAGGGTGGCACTCAAACATGCAGGCACCTGAGACAGACTAGATAACTGGATCCCCCCTACACAGTATATTTTTTCAGAATTTATTTAGCAGAGAAAGTATCAACATGTAAAAATCTGTTTGTTTTAATTTCCATTCACGACCACTGTCTACCGCAGGGGGTCCAACATCGAGGTGGATTTTGCCAGTTTCCTAGGGCGCTGCACGTGGAGACGTCCCTGGCACACCATTTCTGCCTCATCCCAAGGAAGTTTCAGCACCCTGGGCAGCTGGATGGAAAGCGCTTAGTGGAAAGAGCTAATGGAAGAGGAGGGGAGAATTTCATCCCCTGGGTATTGACAGATAAACTGAAGGGCTGACTCATGGACCTGTTTAGATAACAACAGTTACCGGAAAGGAGCGCCAAGTCACTGGGCACTCGGAACTGCAAGGGTACCCAAATGAAGTAAGGGGGCGGGGGGGGGGGATAGAGAGAGAGGGTGTGGGTGTGTAAGAGAAGGGGAGGGGTGGATTTTGGGTTCTGTAAGGTTTTGTGCGAGTCCAGGGCTCCTGACCAGTGTATCCAGGCCTAAGAAAGGAGCTGCTCCTCCTCTGCAACAAAACTTGACAGTGACCAATCCTGATGCGCTGCCGCCTCTACAGTTAGGCTGCTGGTCAGGAAGACTTGGGGACCCTGAGCCAAGAGGAGGAAGTCAATAGTAATGTACACGTTCAGCTTGTTGGATATTTGCATTAGCAATTAAAATGCAAATGCCATACATTTCCCGGAGATGGTGATAGGTGGGACTTAAAGAGGTAAGAAATAAATGGGAACGGAAAGGATGGAAGAGATCCCAAAGAACACGAGCTGGATCCTTAAACTGGAGTGATTCCAAAGGTACAAAAGCTGCTGTGAAGGTGTGTAATTAACAGTCCCCTTTGCAGCTGGCATGGGAAACAGGGCTGGTGAGGGGCTTTATCCTCTGACCCAGTTGTCAGCCTGGATCCCTCGGACCCTCACCCACATTTCAATATGCAGCCCCAGGGCGTTCTCATTTCCACCTAGCTCCACCTCTCCCCTAAACCCACATGTGCTTTTCCCAATAGCAACACACACAGAGTACGTGTGAATGAATACAGCAACAGAAGGTAGAAATTCAGCACAGACTGTGAGCCAATCCAGGGAGCTGAGGCCCCAGACTTCCCCGCTCCACCCCCGATTCCCGGAGCTCTCTCCATTAACCCATCACCTGCGGCACCGTCCTCAGATTCATAAGCAAGAGACTTACTGGCCAAGATATCAAGTTAATTGATTTTTCAACCAAACACACACCAGAATGTTTCTGCCCTTTACGTGAAGCATCACAAACAGAAAGCTAAGGGAAAGGCTCTTCTTTTTCCCTCAACCTTACTAAGTGTTCCGAAGCTGACAATTTCACACTGCCTAATGCCACTTTCGAAAATGAGAAGAAATGCTCCCAAATCAGTATTGATAACTAGTTAACAATTAAAGCAAATACATTTGACTCCTTTCTAGCTGTTTTTTAAGTCCAAATCATTTTTTTCTATCTTCTGCTTGCAAATCTTTATTAAGACAACTAGCGTAATACACAAAAGATGCAAGTGTTACATCATATGAATGGCTGTCGAAAAAGCAAGAAGTCACAGATGTGAGTCAGTTCTAATACTGCTCCTGTTTAGAAATGCTCTTTCACCGGCCTCTGTAGGGAAATGAGGACATGTGCGAGGAGCCTGAGGCCCAGGAAAGCATCCCTAATCTCTGTGAAGCTCAGCAAAAACACAAAGTTAGAGATGATCACTTAACACATGATGTTCTCAGTAACACAGGGTGACATTCCTTTAGATGCCACTTTGAAGTGGCTTCAAGAGGGTAACACAGAAATATGGAATATGCTGGGTGCTGCCGGGGAAAAGCCGTGCAGACTGACGCCCCCATCAGTTCCTAGGCCCCATCACCACTCGGGGCCTCCTCTCCACTCAGCCACCCTCCATGTTTCTCCAAGCATCTCACTCTCCTCTCCTCACAATGACTATTTCAAACCTCCTCACCAGGCCTCCAATGCCCCATCACTCTAGCAGACCCCCACCTCCTGGGAGCCATCAGAGAGGAGTCTCTCCACTTCCAAGTGAACATCCAGCCTCTCCTCTCGCCTCTGTTGCCTTCTAGGTGTTTCTAGTTGTCCACATCACTTCCTTTCTACCTGTGCTCTCGTCCTACCCCCTACTTCCAGAGAACCGTGCCTTCTCTCTCCTGTCTTTAAGATTTCTTCTCCACATGCCCCTTCCCTCTAGCATTTAATTATAGTCGAGTCTCTGCTAAGAAACAGATTAACTAACAAAACTCCTTCCTTGGACCCAATCCATCTCTCGCCACAGCCTACACAGCCTTATTTCTTGAGCACATCTGTCTCCACGTCCCCATCTTCTCCACACTCACCTACTCACTGCAACCTGGCTGCTCCCTAAAATGCCTCCAACACTGCTTTCATCAAGGCCACGGAGGATTTCCAAGATACTAAACCCAACAGACACATGTTGGTCCTTATGCTACAGGACAGATGGCATCATGCGTCACTGATGAGTATTCCCTCCACCTGAAATCCATCTCTCCCCTTGGCGTCCATGATCCACTCTCAGGTTCTCCTACCAATCGCTCTGGCTGCCCCTTCTCAGTCTCCTTTGCTGATCTTCTCCACCATCCCATGGAATGCTGGAGCTCCTTGAGTCGCTGACCAAGTTGTCTTCTTCTCTACGTAACCTCCTTGGATGCTGTCATGGTGTCACCCATGCCACAGCTTACCATCTAGCTAAATACCACTGAGCCTTCAACTCTGTACACACCTCTCACCGAGCTCCCATCCATGCAGCTGCCAACTCCACTGCTCTTCACTATTCCCGGAACCTTCAAATCCAGGATGTGTAAAAGTCTTGTTATTTCTCCCCAAACCTGAGCTCTTCCTCTCGCTGCTACCTGAGTAAATGGCACCACTGAGTTCCTGACGCCAAAAACCTGAGAATATGTTTTGCTTCTTCCTTTCCCTCAACCCCTCATATTCAACCTATCACCATATCTTGTCAAGAAACAAATACTATCATTCTTTTTAATTCATAATGTAGAAGACTAACTGAAATAAACAGCACAAAATAAAACTTTACATAGCACATCTGGCATATCAAACTTCATACAGTAAACTTTTTATAGGCTGAAGATTGACAGAGGATTGAAATCTTGACAAAATTTAGATCTTTGCAACCTGAGAAAACTGCATTCAAAAAACAATGATTACAAAAGAAAAGTCACAATGGCAAAAGCTATCATAAAAATCTGCTCTGGACAAGACAGTGATTGAGAATCAAATTTTTTTCAATTTTTGTTGTAAAATTGAAAAAAATCAATAATGTTGAAAATAATTTGAGTAATAAAAATGAAAATAGAAAAAATGGAAAATTTTAACAGCTTTGTATAGAAAACTACTCTAGGAATTAAATTAGCTTAACAGAATTTCTTGGCAGAAAAATATACATTCTCAAGAAAAGTTCATCAATGTGAACAAAGTTTAACTGTAATTAAAATGCTGGAGTTTTATAAATGCAGTCTAAATATCTACGGCATCTGAAGCCATCCTCATTATATCCTCATTTCTCAAAAACTTCAAGGTCCGTGGCTTCTAAAACTACTTTTAGGCTTCTCTGCTTTACTCCAGTAATTAAGGACCTGGAAATAACCACTGAAATAAAACTGCTTCTTATTAAAGAAACTTTTGGCCAAATCTTTTGCTGAAAGTAAAAATTAACATTGATTTACTTATCTATTTATTCCATAATGGTAAATTTAATAATCTTTATGCAAAGAATCCCAAAAGTATCTGTTTGGTAATTAAGAAAACTCTACATATTATAGAAAAAATAATTTTAAACTAGGAGAGATCTAGTTACTATGCCAGATAAAGAAACAGAAATCTATTACAACAAATCGAGTTCTTTATCTAATACTTAGAATCAAATGTTCAAATATTTAACAAAGTTATTCTTTAAAATACTAAAGACCCAAATCTTTGTCACACCTGAACAATAAACTTAAAAAAAAAAAATCTACATTTCTTGAACAAATGAGTCCAAGAATATACTGAGATATTATCTAACATAATGGTTACATGAAATACAGACCTATTTTGTGGTTTATGTTTTTAGATTACACTACTGACTTAGAAGTACGCCCTCAAGTATTACTAGAATCTTTTTTCTTTGAAATTCTCATATGAATACTTAGTATTTTTATACTGCTACCATCCACTTATATTAAAGCAGCATATTTCATCTCTTAGGTGTCATGTAGATTAAACTTTTGAATGTTCTTAATATAATAATTCCACAAAAGAGAATTTAATAATTTAACCAGAACCATTAAAGGTGTCAGGTTCAAGAATCAGAATTTGCAATTCTCATCTTTCAGCATTAGGCTTCAATCAGATTCCCATGTATCATATAGGAAGGTTCAGGGTGCATTAACCTCATCACAAGAGCTGAGCACATACTGTTACCTGGATAGCATGGAACCAGTAGCCTGTGGTCCTTTTTGAAATGCCAAGGGTAGAAACAGCATGATGCGCATATACTTTTGGTGAAGGCACCGCCCACGGGCACTTGTGCAGGAAGCTGCTGGGTGTGGTCATGTTAGTAGCCACATAGAACGGGATTAGACTCTGTACAAAGATTCCTTTAGAAGCATACTCATACTGCAATGCTCTGCTGAAGTGGTCTAAATAAGCCTGTTAAAACAGAGCAGGGAAAAGATTTTTAATTTTTCAAGAACCTGGAAGAAAATTCAAGAGAAACAAGGCTTGCTTATTATCAATTCAAGAAAAAAGACAGCATAAGCAAACATGAGTTGCTGACAAAGAGCTCAACAAATTAGACCAAACCATTGTGATAAATGTCCTATTGCATTATGATTTCATTTTCCAATCAGGAATACATTACCTTAGAAGCAGAAAATGCAGCCAGCTGGGGAGTTGGTTTGCAGCAGGAGCCGGAAGAGATAGTGACGATTGCGCCCTTCTTTCTCTCCACCATTCCCGGTAACACTATGTGGACCATCAAACTAGCCGCAGCAATGTTCACATTGATGATGTCCCAGAGTTTGTCCTCGGAGACCTGAGTAAAATACTGGGGGTAGGGATAAAACACGCCTACATTATTTACCAAGATGCCAATGTCCTTGTCTTTCAAGGCTTCTCGAATCGGGTCATAGATCTCACGGCCATTGCTGAAGTCCGCAACTATAACACCGGTTTCTACTTTGTAGGTGTCAGCGATGTCTTTCGCAACCATCTGCAACTGCTCTTGGTTCTGACTGATCAGGATGATACTGAGACCACGGCTTGCTAACTCTTCTGCGTAGGCCCTTCCAATTCCATCTGTTGCACCTACAATACAAGCCAGGAAAACTGAGCATGCTCGAGTCATGGTGCGACCTTTAAATGAACCTTAAATACCCCATTTCCGGTTTTAATCAGAGAAAGATTCACACTAGAAATAAACCAAATTCTAATACTGATCAGTCAAGCCCTATGTCGAATCAATAATACGAACGATACATGCTGGTCAAACACTCGCCCAGCCATCCTGACTGGCAGAGGAAGAGCTGTTTACATTCACCAAGCTGATTATGAGCCACAGTAGGAAACTGTTTTCAAACTTCTATCTGACTTGAATGAGTGCCAGGAGGTACTTCCCTGGGATACAACGATAAATTAAAATGAAATTTAAAATAAGGGAAGCATTTCTGAAAGGGGTGACAGTTTCTAAGGACAATTTCAACACAGAGAGCAAAAAGGAAAAGCAAGGGGCAGGACAGCGGGCTGGAGCAGGCCTGGGGAGGAGGGCGGAACAAGGAGGACAAACCGTAGGAACAGTCTTCCAAGAGGGGGCGGTAAGGAAACGAGAACATATGCATAACAGAAGGGAGATGTTTCACTTTTTTTATCAGCATGTTCCCATGAAAACATCACATTAAATTCAGTAACTCCTTGAATAATGCATCCAACTTAGAACACGACTCAAACAGGAAAGATTAATTTTGATTTTAAATTAGGCAAGAATTGAAATCTCATTCCGTACCACTGACGACTGCCCATCTTCCATACTGCTTGATCAGATCTGCTCTGCTCACCAGGCGAGGGATAAAATGCAGCCTGATCAGGCTGTAAAAGTCACAGACTACCGTGATGCTTTTCCTGGCTGTATACCAGGCTCCAACTAAGGCTAGAGCTTCCACGTAGCAATTGCAGGACCTGGCGATTTCCCTATACAAGAGGTAGAAGCTGTCAACGGCAGCCATGGCGGCCTGCAGGGAAGGGGAAAGAGACAGGTGTTCTTTGCTTAGTAAGTTAAAGGAACACGCACAGTCTGAGTGAAGAAAGATATCAGAGCTTAAAACAATTTTGCACTCAAATAACAGTAACTTTTCAAATGCATGTAAGCCCATGGATCCAGTCAATTTATGATCTCATTAACATCTGTAGTTTATAAAGTTCTTTTCTTCCAAGGAGATTAGTCAACGTAACTGCCAAGAGTTACCAAATTCCTACTAAAATTCAGACACTGTGCTACATGTTGTGGATACAGAGATAAACACAATATGCTCTGTGCCCTAAAAAAGTTCCTAGCCCAGTATAATGACAGGCACAGACTTTTAAATTCATAGAACAGCTGAGAGGTATGTTTATTTCTTTGCTTTATTCCTAATTAGCAAGTACAGAGGGCCTAGTACCATGTGGAGATCAAGAAGAAACAAAAGTAACATTAAGACATGGCCTTGGTCACAGAGCTTACAATCCATTTGAGAGAAAACTAAGCTTTAATAAAACTTTAACATAAATTATATTATGTATAAATAATATACATAAATGTATATTTAAAAAGAGATACTACCCAAACTTGAAGAAACAGTTTTCTCCAATGACAGCGGAGTGAGCACTCCTGCGTCTTGCTAACATCGTTTGTACCCCATTATCTTTGCCTGGCCCCTTACATTCGAGGAAAGAAAAGTTCAATACAACTCCTGTAAGTATCCACAGAACAAGTGTTTACAAGGCACCTCCTATGTTCCATGGACTGTGACAGATGCTAAGGATTCAAATATGAATTAAATAATTGTACTGAGGAGAAGAGACGACACTTAATGACATAATTTTAAATGCCATACGAACTGGTGTCTGTGTGCCTGCTATCAGAGAGGTAGACTGAGGCCTGCAGAGGTAGACAGAGGTCAGACATGAGCAAGGTGGTGAACTGCATCCTAGACTAGACCGGGGAGCCACTGCGGCCTGATCCAACTGCGCGCTATCTGTGAGGGACAAAGTACCAAACAGACCACAACAGACTACAGTTAAATTACAGGGAGCTCAGACATCCACAAACACAGGGAGACAGCATTTATTATATAAAAGAAAACTGATTTTAAGCCAAATATATATATATAAATCTTTTGGGAGTGCTCCCTCTTAGAGAAATCACATTAAAATAGAAAAAAAATTCTGAAACTAAGAAGATACCCAACAACAGCAGCAAAACTTGACACAGCTTAAGTAAGAATGAGTGAATTCTCTCCCACTCCGCTGCAATGTAATTTGAGCTCAACCAAGTTTTGCAGAATAAAAAACGAACTAGCAGGAGAAAACAAATTAACCACTAAAATGGAACATGTCATAAGAATGACACCATACTGTGATAAAAGGCACATAAAATAATGAAACAACTGTTGAATATATATATTTGAATACACATGTGTTGCATATACACATATGTGAATATATCTATGAACGTGTAGCCCAAATTACAAACCAACAAAGAAATGGATAGGCAGTAGGACGCCTAAATGCCCCATAATAAGGATAGATCTACCAAACAATAAGTTATATAGTCTACCATATTACTAATTAAGTTGATGTAGCATTAAGTAAGACAGGGACATGATTTTCTCAAACAACAATATAGAAATGACTGAAGTTGGGCCACCTTCTTTCCTGTAGGTAAAATGCTATATCTGGGGGTTCTGTTCATAGAAACTCCTCTCCTACAATAAGAACGCCAAAACTGATCATGAAATGAAACCATTATAAACTTTATTAAGTACACAAACCAAATACTTAATATAAAAAAACAACTAAATGCTCCTTTGGGGTAATTTTTCTTCATGGACCACACTGGCTGAGATTTCCTAAAATATCAAGATCAATGAAGTTTGGACTGAAGATGCCTTTCTTTTCCTGTTCAATCTGCCACACAGCAGCCAACAACATTCCTCATTGCTCTCAAATCCTCTGAAATACATTTATAGTTAGGATCATCTGTCTCAAAACCACTCATTCTTTTTTTGCTTTAGATGAGTGCCTCTCAAAGTTTCCGGGTGCCAGAGAAGAGGGAGTGACGTGACACCCCTTTCCAAGGGTCCCTGCCCTGCCATCTCAGTACACGGCAAAGTCCTTGCTGAGGCGGGCTGGCTGGCTCTGCCCCTGCCCTGGCACGGTATCAGAGTGCTCACGTTGGCTGCAGTCCCTGAAGAGTCATAACTGCAAGACTCCAAAGAAACAACCAAAACACTAATTTCTTATAAGGAAGAACGTAAAAAAAACTGAGATTCCATGTTAAACGATCCTAAGGTAGGAGTTCCTGAAATAACTTGTTAAAAGTGTAATGTGCCTTCTGTCATAACTAATCAAATACTAGGTCGTTAGGAAAGTAAATGCAAAAAATAATCACCTGTATGCATTAGGACTTTTCAAACAAAATGTAAAAAATTAGAAATAACTATGACAAAAAAACAAGATTGTTGGAATATTAAAGCTGTTCTTCTAAATAACAGGTGGGCGTATACCTAAGATGTTAAAACAATGTTTTCAATGAAAAATTAAATACCACATATCAAGACCTAATGGGTGATAACCAAAGCAATACTTGTGGGAATGTTAACTGCACGAAGAGTCTATGATAAGGTTGCAGCTAAAAATGAGGAGGTCACATACGCCTCACGCATGACCTCATCCTAATGGGAAGCTGTGTAAAGGGAACTTTTTCCCCCTCAAACACAATTTTTTTCAAGAATTGGAACATTTGTGAAGGAAAACCTCTAGCAGAAGATGCCTGACTACAAGGGAGTTTCCTGATTTTGCTGCTCTAGTTGTTAACGACCTGTGGTATCACCTTACCTTCACTCTGCCAGTCCTAGGCCTTCAGGAATACGCTGCTCTGTCTTTTCTTAAGGCCAATCTGTGAACAAAAACCAACATGAAACCAATTCCTTTCCTCTGTCCTCGTAGCTCAGCTGGGAAAACTTTACATAAAACTAAGACCAAAGTTTTTAAAAGTTAAGAAAACACAAAGTTCTTACGCCGTGAATCCCTGTATAGGGAGCAAAGCATGCCCTGTCTCAGAATAAGGCAGGCACCACGAGCATCCGTCTGGTGGAAGGCTCGGCTGGAATGTGCCTCTTCTCCTGCACCTTTTTCTTAAGGAACATTTCATCAAATGGGACAAAACCTGTTCAAACAGCTTGGAAAGAGATGGTGCTCCACACAGACACTGGAGCTGGGACACACAGCCCAGGAACGGGCCAGCAGACACGGGAGGCCATGCCCTCGACCTCGCTCCCTGGTGTCCGCCTGGGCCTTCACCCGGGCCTCAACCCGCTCTCTCTGCGAACCCCCTTCCTCCGCTCCCCCTGAACCCCCACACGACTGAGGCCCCCTGGCCTCTCTATTTCAAACTCCTGGCGGAGATTCCGGCTGGCCCACCTGAGCTCAGGCATCCAGACTTGTCTAATCAGCTGGCGGAGGCGGCAGGGAGGAAATGTCCTGCGGTGTTGGCAGCAGCCCCTCCAGCCTGTGAGCAGGGTGGGTGCTGTGAGCATGAGGGAATGAAAGGACACTCCCGGACCTTTTCTCGCTCTTCCACCCTAGACCCTGAGTTGCAACTGTTTTGTTTTTGAACCACCCCCAGCAGGCTGAGTTCTCTAGGGCTGAGGCCAAATCTTATTCCCCTCCGTTCCTCCAGCACCTTCCACAACCCCCGGCACACAGCAGGAGCTCCACGGATGTCTGTGCATTAAACCGCACGACCCAGTCTGTAGTTCAGCTCACAGGCTGTTGTTTCCCGTCTAGCTCTCAGTCTCCACACACCACCTTGTTCCCCCACCCAGGAGAGGCTCGCCAAACAAACGCCTTTGATCCTTTACAAGAAAAACCTCCTGTGCAAAACTCACCAGAGACCTCCTGCTCAGGGCCAGCAGAAGAGGCGCACGGACCTCAGAGGAGAGTCGAGAACAGCGGTGCCAGGGCCTTCAACCCTGGCTTGGCCCACTTCTCAACTCTACCCACTGGACGCCCCTTCACCATCTTGTCAGGGGGATACCATTACGATATTTTAACATTACAGTTCCACCATAGACAAATACCTTAAACGTACTTTATCACTGCTATATTTTTTTAAAAACCACAGAGGATCAGAGGGCTGACAGCATGCTGGGTCTGGTCTTCAGCCTTGAGGTACAGAAATGCAATTTGATCATTCCCCAGAGGCGGCTCAAGAGAGAGAGATCTGACTCACGCTGACCAAACTCACAGAAGACTGATAAATTCAAACCCCAATTTATTTATGAATAATAAACAATACAGCCAAGAAGCCTAAACATGCACAGTCACTCATCTGTAGACAAGTCTACATGGAAAATCAAACTATTAGAACAGCAACGACGAAAACGACTAAGTGCCAGAGGCTGAGGGCCTGTCCCGAGTAAGCCTGGAGTCCCCGCCATCCCTGTGTACACAGAACTCACTGCAGATAAACAGAGCAATTCAGTGCAATGTGGCAGTGCGCTGTTGAAGAAGGTGTAAGACGCTCCTGGACAGAGAGCAGGCAAGGGCCCAGCACTCTAAGAGGTCTCGTCTGCCAGGAAATGGCGACAAGGTCAATGTGCTCACAGCACAGAACGTGCACCAAAGCGTGGAAAGGGGGCTGGGAGGGGAAGCCAGGGCAGCACATGCCTCGACACCCAGCACAAGCATCTGGACTTACTCCTGGAGTAAGTGCCTGGCGCCCCAAGAGGGAGCTATTCAGGTTTGCCGTGGAAGGGAGCAGGCAGAAGTGAGGGGTCCTGAACCCTGGTCTGTCCAGATGGGGATAAAGCAAGCCTGGACTGACAGCATGTGGCTTTGTGACTGATTCCTTGCTGCTCCTCAGACACACCAGGCATTGTCACTCATTGTTCATACCTTGAAGGACCATAAATGGAAAATAATAGGAAATTCTCCACTCCTGACACCCTCTCAATCCTCTTCCCCCCCAGACTTAATGTCTTTCTAATGAAAGAAGAAATCAAGATTCCCCCAAAACAATTAAGTTCCAGGAAAGCTCATGGAAACACAGTTTTGAAGGAGTTTTTGAAACATTTAAGTCTAGAAGCCTACCCAGATATATATAGTTATGAAGCTGTATTTAACGTGTTTTGGGGCTTGACTAGTTAATTTTTCTGTGGATAGTTATTAGTCTAAAACTTAGAGAAATCCATTATTTAGAAAGCAACACTAAAACATAGTAAAATTCTGGTCCCCTATACAGTCTACCTGTAAAAGTTATTATAAAGCTTTGTTTTCTTGCCTCTACAGAAAACTAAAACATCAGTGAACAAAACAAGAGAGAAACAGGTGGAAGAAAATAGTCAGAACTATCCCAAAAATAGGAAAAGAAGAGCAATTCTCTCTCGTCTGTTAGGCATTTTCTCCTCCCACAAGGCAATATTCATCAGGGCTGATTCATCACACACTCAAAGGCCTCCTAGGTAAACTGCAGACTTGCAGTGATTTTTATGTGTGATGTAGGCTCATCCTTGATAAAGAAGGTAC